TGGGGGGGGGTAGAGAAGTGAAGACAAGTGATAAGTTCTGATCTCAACAGTGACTCTTTACTGAGAGGTATTCGTGAGCAGATCTGTAAAAATTAAGCCTAAAGTAGTTAAGCACCTTTTGGTTCTCGGTATTTAAATGTTTTCTGGAAGTAGATAGAATTCAAGAAGGCAGAAATATAGTGTGTGATATCTGAGGTTTTCTGTATTACCAAGAATGTGACATAATAGTTATTCAGTTACAAATAAAAATGGAAATTGCATAGTTAAGGAATAGATTGCATTTTGGCTTTTTCTTTTTTTGCCCAGATAGCCATGCTTTCACCTTGGTCCGGTGTGCCAGCTCCCGTGCTCACATCCCCAAATCCTAGGTCTTGATGTTTGCTCTGCATTTGTACATCGTTTCCTCTAGGAGGAGAATCTTTTTCTCAAGCTGATACTAATCCTCACCCAGTGTGAAGTTATATACTCCTTTTAACCTGAGCTCTCTTAATTTCTGTTTCATGAGAGGAACTTTATCTTCTTTGAGATTTTTGTTGATTGGAGTATCACTTTCAGGTATTGAGGAACATACCTTTTCAAGACATTCTTAAAAACCTTTACTTGATCCAACTTTGTACTTTATCTCCTTTGTTCATTTGAAAGGTTGAATAATAGTCTACTTGCTTTTTAGTTCAGGATTAAAAGATTTCCCAGGCCAGTGTTATTTTCTCCTAGAGAAATATAAAAATAGAGTTGAATATAAAACTCCAGGTAGTCAGTGTTTCTAAGTTACAAGTATGTAACTGCCTAAATCTCAAAGGGATTGAATTTAGTAAAGGCGTGTTTTGTGTTGTACTGATCACTTTCTTGCTTCCTGAGATATAAATTATCACTTTAAGAATTCTTACCAGTTTTACCTGTGCTTCAGAAACAGGATAGGTTGAAAAGATGGCAAGATATCAAGCTGTGGCCATGCTCTAGTAAATAACAGTAATAAAAATGAATTAATTCTAATATCAACCTGTGTGTGCTGACATAATCCCTAAGAAGGTGCCAGTGGGTGTTGACTTAGAGCTCAGTTCATGCCTATAATTCAAAAAGCATATTAAAAGATGCGTGATATTATCTATGAGGAGTTTTGATGTATGGGAGAAAAATGATATTAATGTGTATAATAATTAAATTTAAATTTTCCCCAAATGATACCTTTTTATAATTATAAGTAATTCTGTTGATTACTGGTAGGAGCACGGTATTTAAAGTAAAGAGATTTTTAAAAAACAATCTTTGAAATACTTGTTTTTAGTCACATCTCAGCTGTATGTCCTTCGAATAACTAAATTATATCCAGTTTTATGTGTGGAATGTATAGTTGCTATACTTCTTAAGCCAGATTCTGGCTTGCTTTTTATATAAGTATGGTAGAACTTCAATTTGATATATTTCTAGGATGAATAAAACATCAAATTCATTGGTGTGTTTCCTGTAAAAATGTAGTTAGCAGTTTTTGAACCTCAGAATTCTATTATAGGAATTAAATACTCAAGTGCAAGGGTCTGAGTTCAATCCCTGGTTCCACCAAAAAAAAAAATAAAATAAAAGAATTAAATACTGTATGAATTTTTAATGTTAATAAGTTAGCTTTAATCATAATGATTCCTTGAAAATTCTCTGGTTCATATTTGGCATAGGTATAATATAGACTTTGAAATAAATTTAGCATTTCTTTAATATTAAATAGGTAATTCAATCTAAATTTTATTATTAAATAACCCCTAAATTTAATAGGCACAAAATTTGTTCTTTGACCTCATGCTTACAACCGTAGGCTACTATTGTTAATACAATTTCTAGTTCGTGATTCAGCGCGCCCTACTGTGTGCTTGCCTTGCTTTCACCGAGAACCTAGGGCCATTACTTTCTGTAACCATTTCAGTGAGCTGCCATAGTTTCAGTCTGTACTGTCACCTGATCCAAGCATGCGCCAAAATATCACTGTTTCTGGCTCCTGTATTGCTGAATCTGCTTTGCAAACCCTTTGTCCTTGAGCTTTTGCTTTAACCAAAAATAAAATCTAACAAATTCTCTCAGTGTGGACATCTGCCCTTTGCTTTCTTAGCTCCCATGCTGTGTAACTCAAGCTTTCTATTAAACTTGTAAATACTTATTAAGTACAGTAATGGCATCCCCATGTGCAGTTGTGTGGCTCATTTGTCAAAATAAAGGCTGCTTGTGAAATTGTCAGAAGAATATGAATGCTCCACTCGTGCTGCATTCAGCTTTTTTTTTTTTTTTTTTTAATCAGCCACTTAATCCTTTCATGATGTTTGGTTTAATTATCTGCTTATTTTATGTGTTATACCAAGGTAAGTTTAATGTAAAGTTACATTGTATTCTGTGTAGTTATGTGTATCCCGTTAGGAATTACTATTACATATTTTTCCATTAGACATGCTGGCAATTTCTAAATATGTTTGCTTGTAATTTGAATAATTTCCTCCAATTTTTAAATTAATTTTAAAATCAGTGTTACAGATTACTTCCTGTGAAATTCATTTTTAAAACAAGCTATTGTGTATTACTTGTGGTACTGATGTAGGCAGTCTAATGTGAGAAACAGCACAATTATTTGCTTTAGAAAATAATATTTTAATATTCTAGAATGGCTTAAAAAGTAAATAGCAGATTCTGCTAATGAGTTTAGGAAGAGAGACTATAGTTCATGTAGTACATCAGGAAAACAGCTTTCTAAACAGATACAGTTCTGTCATTCTATCATTATTTGTGATACCTGTTTTCTCAGAATCATGAATATTTTGATAAATGAATGACTACTTGAGTAATAGTTTGTTTCACACTGAAATTTTCTGATAGGAAAGGATAATATTAAATGCATATTCAAACACATGTCCTAGAAGCAAAAGCAAGTATGGGCTTAAAAATGTATTATAGTAATGAATACAAGTCAATTAGGATATGACAAAATTACAATAGTAATAAATATGCACAATAAGGCCAACTAATTATTGCACACATTTCTGAATTCATAATATTGACTTCTAACACTATACTGTAGTCTTTTCTATTTCTCTTCCTTCATTTTATCTTATACTTTGATCTTTCCCTCAGTTTCCTGAAGTCTGCATTTCTTGCTTTTCTTCTCAAAGAAAGTTTTAGGGTATCTCAGTCTTGGATCCAAAACTTTAATTCAAGAATTGACTGGCATCATTTATAGTTCTGGCTTTAATCTCATTTCTCCCTTTTGCTGATCTCCTCCCTGTGGGGGAAACAAAATCACATCGTAGGAATGTGCACTGTAACAAGCTTCTTAACCTTTCTTTACTTTGCTGTCTTCACTATTTTACTAGTGAGTATAATCCTTATTTTACTAATTTTGAAAAACATTTTAAAAATTGTATAACAGTATAAAAATGGAAAGTGATTTTGAATTCTTTGGTTTTCAGTTTTAATGGTGCCTTACATGTGGAAAATTTACAGTAAGCTTATCACCCTGTTTAAAGTTTTCAGATTGTTTCCAAATGGTCATTGGCTACCAAAAGAAAAAAAATCACAATGTATTAATTATGGACTGTTTCTGTTTTTAATGTCTTTGAACATAAAAAGTTACTGTAATTTGCAGCTGCTGTTCACCAAGAGTTTGCAGCTAATTGCAAGTGATTGGGAAATATGTGTGACAGCTGTTCCATTTATAATGCTCTATTAGAAGCGCTTCCTGTGACAATTAAATGCAGTTGTGTGATTTTTAAGCACTGCTGCTCCCTTCCCTTCTTTTTTCCAATCAGGGATCAACCAGGCCTTTCTCATGCCAGGCAAGGGCTTTACCAGTAAGCTACATCTCCAGCTGTAGAAACAAAAAAAAAAAGTTTTTTCTTCTTTTTGGTGATGGTGAAGTGAGAGTCTCATTGTGTTGCCCAGACTGGTCTCAAACTTCTGGGTTCAAATGATTCTCCTGTCTCTCCTCCAAGAATCTACAGCTTTGCTGTGGGTAAATGCCACCATGCCCATATAAGCTGTTGGTTGTTTTGTTTTTTTTTTAAGTTGCAGTTCCATTCATGGAATTTATTGTTTTACGTGAAATTGTCCTTCTGTATATTCACCAAATTATTTTTGTGTTAATCTTTTAAATATATTTACTGTTGATGGGGAGGATTGATTGGCTAGCCCCTTTATTTTCTCACCAATTTACTTTAGACCCTACATCTCTATAGAAGGATGACTAATATAGATTTTTCTCTTTCAAACTTGACACATCTTTGCCTTAGAATATAGTGGGTTTTAAAAAATTTAGTACCTTGAAATGAAGTTAGAATTTATATAAAATTTATGGGTATAGCATATGATGTGTTCCTTCAATGAGGTGAAACATAGCTTATCAATTCAGACTAGAAGCTGGATGCTCTGGGCACACATTTTGATCTCTTCCTAATAAAGTGCTCAGTATGGGTGTCCCTTAAAGTAGTTAAGCATGCAGTGGTTTTTTTTTTTATTTTTCCCTAGCCACTAAGTTGAAAATGTTTGAGAAGTAGCATTTTAAAGATAGGAAGTTTAAAAATCTGTTAGAGAGCAATACCTCTATGCCTCCTGTTACGTGTTTATTTTAAATGTTTCTTGTTCATAGATTGCATGCTGTGGAATAGTGAACTGATGTAATTTTTTTTTTTTTTTTTTTTTTCAGATGAACCAGAAACTCGGGATGCATGGTGGGCAGAAATCAGACAAGAAATAAAATCACATGCTAAAGCACTAGGCTGCCATGCTGTGGTGGGCTACAGTGAGTCAACCAGCATCTGGTAAAGGCTTACAGCTTGTATTCGATATTGGTATTTAGACTGTCATCTTTTTAATTTAATTTTATTTTTTTAATTTTTTTGAGAAACAGCAATGAGATAGTTTCAAAACAGATTAGTAGGACAGTTACAGTAATTAACACATTGCATATTGTCTTTGTAGTAGTTATTCGTAGTGCAAGATTCAGACATGATATCTTGTCTAAACACTATTAGTATAAATCTTCTTATTGAACTAAGATAAAGTAGCTGTATATCTATCCTATTTTGTATATATATATATATATATTTTTTTTTTTTTTTTCACTACAAAGTGGACCTTCATTTATATTAGATTGTCATCTTAAAGGGGAACTATTTTGTGAGCATAGAAAGTACAGAGCAGTGGAGCAGTATAGAGTATGGGCCTTTAGCACATTAGATCAAGTTTAGTATGCTGTCTTTCCTACTAAAGCGCTGTCAAAGTTAGGCAGTGTTTCTCCTCTGAAAGTCTCAGGTCATCCATTGAAGTGGTGATAGTGCAACCTATGGTACCCAAGTCTTAGACATGGGAAGGTCTAATTTACTCCAGTATGTGACTTTTTCTAACTCCTTCCACTAGTTTACTTGGAACCCTTGATTTTGTGTAAATGAATTTGACAAGGGTCTTTAAACTTACTCTGTAAATTCATTCTGCTTGCACTTACTAATTGTGATATAACTTTGTCCTGATAACAAGTCATCCTTTTCAACTCTGCTAGATTAGGGATTTCCATACTCTTTGTTCTGAGCTTTTTCCTCCTGCCTTTCATATTAACACCTGTTAAGTCAGTGCCACTCCAGTGTTACTAATCTTCAAATATTTTTCTGCCTTTCTTTGTTGAATTTTTCTGGGTTGAATTTTCTCATTATCAATTCACCCATTGCCACTTGACTTACCCATATTTTGGACCTTGCTATCTCTTGAAAATACTCCACTTTAAAAATTGAAAACTGAAAGTGTAAATAAGAACCAAAATATATGGTAGATATGGTGGAATAGAAAGAAATTGTTCAAAAGGAAAGCAAGTAGGCAAGGGGAAGGAAAAAGAAGGGAAAAGAAGAAAATGAGAACAACAGAAATGAAAACAAAGCTTTGTAAATGGGGAGGTGAAGAGGAGTGGAAGGGAGGGGCTACGAATGGGGAAAAAAGATGAATCAATATAGACCATGTACAGCTACAAGTTTCCTGTGAGGAATGTGATCCTTATGTATACTTACTTACATTAGACCATTAAATTAACTTTGAAAATAGCTAAAATATTGAAACTTTAGGGCCAGTAAGATAGCTCAGCAGTCTAAAGTGCCAGCTTAGGCAAGTTTAGGCAAATGCATAGGGACCTTGTTTTGATCCCTGGCACCACATCCTGCACCAGCCCCATCCCCAGGGTGGGCTAAGCCATCCCCCCAAAAGATTTGAAACTTTAATACTCTCAGATTATAATATACTGTTTTTCCATTAATCTCATTTGCTTACTTGTACCTAATTTGTTTTTCTCTAATTATCTTAAGTATTTTTCCAGTCCCTTTCTTGGATTCTAGCTTTACTTGATATTTTGCCATTATTTGAATTCTACTTTCACCCTCTTTGTAAGTTTATCATTGTTGTCATCTAGAAGGTGTTTGACCTTTTTCTATCTTTTATACACCTTTTATTTTTGGATAATTCATATTGCTAGATCTCCTGATTTTATGATGGATCATTATCATTAGAAAAAGATCATTAAAATAGGAGTATTATAGAGCTCTATTGTTTAATCTTCTGTAGGATATGTCTTTTTTTGTTGACGTACTACTTTCAAACCATTTGATTCCTAGAGTAGCCGCCCTACTCTTGTTAGCCACCAACTTTGTAATTTGTATTCTGTATGTATTCCCCTGTAGAGAGTTTTGTGTATGCATCAATTTGATGCCGTATGTTATCAGGTAGGTTGAGGTGATTTGATTGGTTGGTTGACTGATTGATTGAGACAGAGTCTTGCTGAACAGGCTGTCCTTGAATTGACACATGGTTGGCACTGAATTTGTGGCAATTCTTCCTCAGCTTCCCCATGCTGGGATAACAGATGTGTGCTCCCTGACACAGTGAAGGTTGTGATTATAAATGATGTAGTTCTTACCATCAGATTTACATTGTTGTGCAGAAGTATGGCAAGACTAATACATGTTATATTACCCCTGCCTCTGCCTCCATATTTGAGATTAAACCCAAGACTTGCAGTGAGGCACATCCCCAAAACTTTTCATTTTTTATTTTGAGATAGGGTCTCACTAAATTGTTCAGTCTAGGCTTGAACTTATGACCTCCCTGCTTCAGCCTTCCAGAGTGCTGGGATTACAAGCATGTACAAGCTCAGCCAGTGTAATACACTGTATGGTTGCAGTATTCCAAGTTGCTTCAGGATCTCTGAGGGCTGGGAGTCAGAAGGACTGGAAGAAAATGTCAGTGACATAATGTTGCTTGAACTGAATCTTGGGAGATAAATATTACAAAAATGAAAGGAGGAGGTACGTGGAGAATGCTCAAAACCAAGAGCTGCATATGGAGAATGGCAGGCAGTATAGAGTCAGCCTAGCGAAAGACGGGTCACGGGGCAAGAGTCGGGGCATTTGTCCAATGAATTTACAAACAGACTTAAGTGTGTCTGCTGGGAACTCCTTGCCCCTTCCATCTACATGTTAAAAAACCTTTACATTTAAATCCACCTTTACCAATTTCTTCTAACCTTTCCTACCTACTATTACTGGACTGAACTCTTTGGAATATCCATCTGCTCTTATTTAACTCTTGGATTGTAAACCCGCAGAGGCTGGGGTTGTTCCTTCTGACCCCTCAGTGCCCACTTACCTCTTAAGTATGCTGTTCCTGTGCTCCTCGTAGTTCATGTCACTCTTTCTGCCTGTGTTTCAGTTTCTGTACATCTAGTCCTTGTTTTGAGCATTCCATTCCTAGGCTGCTACTTATCTCATCATTCAGTAGTTATGTTGATTGTTTGCTTATTTTAACTTTTAAACTAAGTGATATATAATAAAGAATTTTTAAAAATCCATTTAAAAATCATGCATATATACACACATTATATCATAGAAGCTCCATATGGTATATTTTGGATATTGTTTTGGACACTTATAATTCCAGTTCAGATTAAGCTATAGCAACATAGATGCTTACATAGTTATTTTCTTTTAGACTTTATGTTTTGAAGAAAATCTTCATACAGTTCAATGCATTATTACTGAATTCATCAGTATAATTTGAAACATTTTAACCTTTCAGAAAACTGGTATATTAAATATACTTTGTTTCAATTTTTAATTTGTAAAGAGTTCCTTATGTTCCATTTCAGGTGAAGTGATTACTTTTTTCTTTTTTTGGTGGTGGGGATCAAACCCAGGGCCAAGTGTATGCTAGGTAAGCACTCCACCACTGAACCACACCACTAGCCCAGTATTTCTAGTTTCTCACCTAGGTTTTAATAGGTTATTCTGAATATTATTTAGCATTAATAGAGTCCTACTTTAATTTGTCACTGTTGTGGTCATTGGTATGTGGTAGTAGTTATATTGGCTGAAACACTTTTTAAAAATAATATGTTTTGTTTTTCAGTGAAGAAGTCTGTATTTTATCAGCATCTGGCACAGCAGCTGTACTGAATCCTCGATTTCTACAGGATGGCACCGTGGAGGGCTGTTTGGAACAGAGGTTGTCATGGCAGTCTGGCTTGTTTAGAAGGGTAGAGAAGGGAGAGGTTGACTCCGCGCCAGGATAGCTCTGCTCCACAAGGAGGCTGATAGTGTTGTGGGAGTTAGGACCAAGCACTTCACTGAGTGCCAGCTAACTGGTGATTGTGAAGGAATGCAGGATTCTAGACTGTGTTAGACACATTATCATTTCAGGTGTAACAGCAAGAAAAACACCGAAATGGCACCCAGGATCTGGAGGCAGATTTACTATGCATTAATGGGCACAGATCAGGACGATTCCCACAACAGCAGGCCCTGAAGGCTCAGGGAGGGAGGTTTTTCTGGGGGTTGGCTGCAGAGCGGAAGTACAGAGGCAGAGATTTGGCTGCCTTTGGTTGGGTCTTCAGCATGCATTGCAGAGAGCAGCTACTTGTAGGAGACGGAAGTAGCGGGGCCCGTGGCAGGAACTGCGCCAGGCAGCTAGCAGGCGGGGGCATCTTCTGTACTCTTTGGTGTAGGGTCTCGTTACACAGTACACACTCGGTGAATCTCCTGTTTCAGCCTCCCTAGTGCTGGATTACAGGCATGTGCCACCATGCCTGGTTCTAGGGCCAGCACGGCGTGCAGTACAGGAGCTCGAACTTGGGGCCTTGTACTTGCCAGGCAGGCACTGATGCCGCCGAGCTAGCTCCCCAGCCTTACTCTAGTGTCTCAGTAGGTGACACTCATGCTGTAAACTGCAGAATGCCAAGTTGTTCTTTTCGGCTTTGTCATAATATAGAAATAATTTATGACTGTTCCTTTTCCCTTTATCTCACCTTCAAAGCAGTAAAAGTCTTATTTCACAAAATAAAAGTACGTTATGTACATTTCATATACAAAACTACATGAAAAACTTTAATACATGTGAAACAAAAACAAGGTGAAAGCATTAAATGAAATGAGCTCACTTGGGCATTTTTGGTTATTGGTCACATTTGAACTGTTAGCCATAAATATTAAAAATGCCTTTGATAACTAGATAAAACTACCAAATATATATGTAGCTATTAGTTTGGTATCAGTCTACCTGGATAAAAGTATTTATTAACTTTTGTAGCCACCATAGTCAGTTTTGCTGTTTTTCTCCCAGTACTGAGATACTAAGTGTAAATTAAGAAAGTAAAAATATTTTATATCTGTTTAGATTTGTTACTGACTTGCAAGTCTCTGTAACAAAGCTGTGGTAGCCCTGAGTCAGAAGAGGACCTTTTGTCAGTACCCATTAAATGGGTATTCACCATTCTATATGACAGACACTTAATAGTCATCCTAAGTAGGGGACACCGAGGTAAAGATAACGGTTGGAAAACTCTATTGAGAAAACTCTCTTGGCGTGTCCTGCAGATCCATTCCATTTTTTTTTTTTTTTCCCAATGCAGAGGACTGAGCCCAAGGGCTTGGGTATGTTAAGCAAGTTACACTCAGTCCCAACCCAGTGTTATTCTTGCTTTTTAGATGCTCCTTTTTCCTGCTGCTTTGTGTTTTGTGGCTCTGATAGAACAGTGAGTTCTCAAAGCAGCTCAATACTATTATAGAGCATTTAAGTATATCCATCCTCTTGTTTTGACTTTCTCAAATTTAGTGACTGAAAAAGTGGTTAGCCGGGCATGGTGGTACATGTCTGTCAGCCAGCACTTGGGAGGCTGTGGTAGCAGGGTCACTTCAAAGTTGAGGCCAGCATGGGCTACATAAGTGAGCTCAAAGTCCAGCAAAAGAAAGTGCTTAGTCATTCTAAAATGCATTCACAAAGAGCATATAGTTTAACAAACATTTTACAGTGATTGGAAAAGTTTGGATGGTACAATTGTGATTTTTTTTGTGATACATGTGGCATTTGTGAAGCAGGTATTTTAGGTTTTCAGAAAGGGTAAAGTAGCTGTTAGGCATTAGAGTTTTTATTTTTTTATTATTGATTTATTTTATTTATTTATTTTTTTTGGCGGAACTGGGGATTGAACTCAGGCCCTTGCGCTTGCCAGGGAAGCGCTTATTCTACTGAGCCATCTCCCCGGCCCCATAGAGATTTTTAGAGTATGCCTTTTTTAAATTTGTTTTTCTGGTTAAGTGCATTTATTTTTTTCAAATTGTTGAGATGTTTGATTAAATTTTTTTCCTTAGGAATTTTTAATACTTACATTTTTCAGCTAGTACATTGTCTCTGACTTCCACCCCCGTGTTTTTATGTGGTATTCCACCCTAAAACTCTGAGACTATAGTGGTCTGTTGGTCAGGTGGTCAGGCATCAAACAAAACTGGTGTATAGTGCCTTTACTTCTATAAGACCTTCCTGTCATGGGAACAGTGTGTAATTTTGCTTTCCTGGTCATTTGTAATTCTTATCAATCATAGTAGTGCTCCTTACTATTGTTCTGTGGTAGAAGTTGTGTAGGTTATACAGAAGTACTACATATATATATATATATATATATATATATATATATATTACATATTTTTGAAAAAATCCATTTTTTAATTTATTGAGAAACAAATAGCAATGAGACAGTTTCAAATGATTGCTAGCACAGTTTCAATAATTAATACATTGCATATTGTTGTCTTAGTGGTTCTGCATTGTGCAATCCATAAGTTTTCAAGAATGCCTTTTTTCTTTTGTGTAAGGGATCTCACCCTGGCTACAATGCCTTGTCTGTTTTCTTAATGTCTTTGTTTAGGCTTGAAGAGAACTTGCCTGTGGGCTGTGGATTTTGCCACATACCGTATGATGAACTGAACATGCCATTCCCAGCTCATCTCACGTACTGCTATAACTGCAGGAAACAAAAAGTTCCTGATGTTCTCTTTACAACTATAGACCTTCCCACAGATGCAATGGTCATTGGAAAAGGCTGTCTTATTCAAGCGAGGTATGTTCGCACAAACAATATTGGATGTCCCTAAAAATTAGGAGGTACTGAGTCAAGTCTGTTTTTAGACATGTATTATTTCCTACCTGTTCAACTCTGGATAAACTGAGTAATTGTATTGGAACTTTGTATTTTATTGCATAAACAATAGGGAGTGAAAGGAGAAATACCCTGGAGTATAAAAACCTCTAATAAGTTTATATGCAAAATCATTTAAGTTCTTTATAAATGTCTACTAGTATTAATTACCCTTCCTACATATTAGTGATGTGATTCAATATGAAGTACTTTAATGACATTAAATATATACTATGGAAATTGTGTTCTTTTTTCTTCTAAATCCTGCTCTGCCATGTTTCTTTCACTGTTTCACTGAACTGTTAAGAGTTCCTTTTTAAAAAGGCACTAGAAAAAGAAATCTTAGACTGTAACTACTGCTTGGGGGTTTCTGTCTTCATCTCACTTAAGATCTCAGCACTAAGAGACAGTTGATCATCTGCACATGTGAAATTCCTTTGCTCTCAGTGTCACATCTTCTGTGTTTTCTTACTTTGTTAGGCATTAGCTTCCTTGTTGACTCCTCATTTCTTGGTTTTTAAGAGCCATTGGTTCAGACTTTCTATGAACTCACAGGTCTGTACGGTATCTGTCTGAGCTCTAAATTTATGATTGTAGTCCACAATGTTCTTCTGAACCTCAAACCCATATACCTGTCCACTTCACACCCCATTTTTCTGTATTATAGGCATCTCATACTTGTTCAAAGTTGAACTGTTTATCCTCTCTACTTCTTAATTAGTCTTTTGGTTTTATTTTAAATAAACATTTTTGTGTAGTTCTTCATGCCAAAGTTGGTATTCTTTAATAGTTTGTCTTTCTCAGCCTCTCCACATCAAATTCACTCAAAGTCATGTTAAGTTTTCTTCTGAAATCTGTTTCTAACCTATTTACCTTATATCCTAGACCTTTCATTTGGGCATGTTTTTCTTTTTTAATGAAGAATTAACTGTTTTTGTCTGAAAAGCATGTTTATTTTACGTTTAAAACATTTTGGGCTGGCATTCTTCTTTCAGCATGTTGAAGATAACCTTTTACCACTGCCTTTTGAATTTCCTTGCTGCTGTTGAGAAATCATAAGTAACATAATAAGTAAACAATCATAGGTATTGTTTTTTTTGAAGGTAACCTGTCTGATATATAATAGAAGGTTAAATAGCTTATGTTCTTTTAGTTAAATAGCTAATTTTTTTTTGGGGGGGGGAAACAAATACGAAATTTATTTGATTAATGTATTATAACATTACAAAGCTACATATTTTTTCTCTTGACAGAGATTTTTCTTTTGTATTTTTCCATGTTTTGTTTTGCTTAGTCTCTTTTTTCCATAATTTTATTGAGAAACAAATAGCAATGAGACAGTTTCAAATCCGATTAGTAGGACAGTTTCAATAATTAATACACTGCATATTATTATCTTAGTGGTTATTCATTATACAAGATGCAGACATGAGATCCTGTTTGCAAAAATACCTGTTCCATGTTATGCCTAAGATGTTTGATATTCAGACAGATAGTGAGGTTAAGCTCAACTGCTTAGGTTGTAGGAAAATAACAATAAGCTTCTCTTCTGGAGGGTTAACAACCTAAGTTTGCAGACGAAAATTAGAGAAAAAGGAGGGCTGCAAGGAAAGCCAACATTTTGGCCCTAGCCTTTCAAGGTCAGTAAACTGAGGACGTAGGAGAACCTGTACTGTAACTTCATGTAACTCAGTTGTGTCCCAAATTTTCTGATCAAGGAAATTATGGGGCCACAGAGGAAAGTCATTGATGTTGTAGAGTGTGCCTAAGGAGAGTCACATGGAGAGAAAACATTTTCTCAGGCTTTCAAAGAGAGCAAATTGGTCAAGCAATGGCTGTGACTCATCCACATGGCTGACACTGACAAAGAATCTACAAACTACAGTAAAGGGTTTCAGAATAAGTCCAGAGGGGATTTGACTAACCTTATCAGATACAAAAGCTACATTTCTTGTTATATAGGCCTTTCTTTACCTTGGTCTTGACCGTCCATCAGAAAAGTATAAAAATGAAGTATAAAAAGTACAGCCATATTAATATGCTGAACGGTAAAAGGTTCAAGTGAACAACTTCTGACATTGCCAGGCTTATGGAAAACCCACTACTTTTATGGGATACTGGACTCTTTTGGAATATTTTGCTGAATTCACACACCTATAATATTTAAATGACAAAACTAAACACAAAAAAGGGGATACAAATGAATGACCATTTTGTATCTGTATATTCAAAATAGTTAGGATAGATATACAACTACATTCCTTTAAATCAATGAATAGAAAGATTTGTTCTGATAGTTAAATAGCTTATGTTCTTTCAATGAGTGTATAAATCTTCTGCTTCATTCATATGATCACAAGCAGTTATGGATCCTGTATTTTTTTTTAATCTGTTGTCTAGTAATTTTGATCAACATTAAATCATTTCTAGAGATTCTGAGATTTTTCATTTTTGTTTATTAACATGGTTTTGATGAACGTTCACACAGTGATGAAAATGGCAGAAAGGATTATTGCTATAACTTAACCTACCTGAAACAACTAGGTATTCTATTAATCATACTTTCAATAAGTTTGAAAAGTTGGACATTTTTTAAGCTGATACATCACTTACTTTGCACTGACTGAATTACTTCCCTTTGTAGGTTATGTCGCTTAAAAAAGAAAGCACAAGCAGAAGCAAATGCTACGGCTATCAGTAATCTCCTGCCTTTTATGGAATATGAAGTTCATACTCAGCTAATGAATAAGCTAAAACTCAAAGGGATGAATGCTTTGTTTGGACTAAGAATTCAGATCACAGTGGGTGAAAATATGTTGATGGGCCTTGCAGTAAGTTTAGAAGCTTTTGGTTTTCTGTTTTCCATAATTTATACAAAATCCTGTTTTGTGTGATTCAAAGTCATTTGAAAAGAAGTAGCTAAAGAGACTGACATCAGGACCTTACGGATTGGGTACATTGTAGGAAGTAACGAATCTAGTGATACCTTCACAAATTTTAAAGTGACTGACCATATGCTCAGTAGTTCTATTTCTAAAAATTATCTATTGTAGACAATTATCTGTTGTCACCTTAGAAGGTGACAGCCATTGATCTGGACTGGAGTACTGTTTATGTATTTATAAAACAGGCTTTTTCTGTATTGGTACTGGTGCGATTTGGCGCAAGAGGGTATTTAATCTGGGCCATGCCTAGCCTGTGCATGTTGGTCGCGCCCTCTAGCGGTCACAAGCAGATGTCCAGCCCTTGCCAGCTGGCCCTTGGGCGCAAAATCACCTCTGCGAGGACTGGGCACTAAAATAATGTTTAGTTTTAATGGAGAAAATAAAGCAAAACATGTGATATGCTTCCTATTATTAAATAACTAAGGTTCATCATAAATGTATTCTTGTGGCAAACTGTAAAATGTATACTAAAATATGTTCTTAAGGGCTGATGAATTCTAAGTCAGAAAAATATCTTTAATGTACTTTATGTTCACATGGGCTTATTGGAAGATAAGTTCTGACTGGAGAGACATCAGTGGAAAAGTCAGCGCTGCTCTTAAGTAGCAAGAGACCCAGAGAACTAGGTACCTGTGAAACAAATTGATGCATAAAATAGGATCGCATTTTGTTAGTCAGAATTTTTGTCTGTGTCACTGGCAGCTTTAAATTGGAATTCTTTTATCACCTTTCTAAGATATGCATACATACTTAATTTTCAGAAATTTATGGAAAGGAACTTTTTCATATAATTTTTTAGTTAAAAAGAAACTAGTTTTCTTTTTCATGTATTCTTTGTATAAAAGCAAATATGTAAATATTTGTATGAAGGGAGTTATTGTGTGATACGATAAATGATTAGATATTCTAATATTTTAGCTAGAAAAATGTGTAATAGAGTAACCTGGTTTATATTAAGATAAAGTGTTTAGTGGGGAAAATGTTTCTTTTAATTCAATCATCTATAAATTCGTGTGCCTAGCAAGAACATTCATGCTGAATATAAGACTAGTAATTCACGCTGAATGTAAGGCCAGTGATCAGTGGATGCATATGGAAACTAAGACCTGAATTCATATTCAGAGGCTGAAAAATCTTTTGCCAAAAATACCAAACCTTTCTGGTGTTTGAATCCTGTGTAGATGCTATAATTATAAGGTTTGCCTCAAATACTACTTTGCTGATTCATATTAATCTTTTTCTTCTTGATCACTAGTGACAACAGTTGTAACTTTGTGGCATTTTGGCCTTTGTGCTATCTTATAATTTGCACATTTCAATGTCAAGATTGCAAGAAAAACAAGTTATACATATGAGATCTGAATCTAACTGTTCCATCTGTCTGTTACTTTTCTCTCATTGCTGGGACAGATACCTGACGCTCAAAATGAAGGAAGGAAAGATTTATTTAGCTCACAGTTACTGGAGGGTTCAGTCCATACTCAGCTGGCTCCAGCATAGAGTGGCACGTGGCGGAGAGCAGTCATTCATGGCGGCAGCAAATAGGAGCAAGGGAGGAGTAGCAGCAGCAGTGGCGGTGGAGAGCAAGTCCGTCTCCCTTGTGTTGCTTTCTGGCTGTCTGCCCCAGGCTGGTGCAGTACCCACTCTCATCATCCCAGCAGCACTCACGCCTGTAATCCCAGAGGATCATGAGTTGATCACAAACTCTAGAAGTTGGTCCTATGGCTGCATGAGGCTTTGGGGGGACAAGGAGGCACAAACCATGCCACCACCATAGCTAATATTCAGTGAGTGACTACTAGGTGTCTAGACACCACTGGTCTGGAACCAGTGTAATATTATTTTTACTTGATAAGAAATAACAAATACTGTCAGAGGCTTCATCTCAAAAGTGTTACGGTTACATGCAGTCAACTGGGTTTCAAACCCAGCACCACTCAGGCCCGTTTACTCCTGAATGAATGGGCTAAGAAAGTGTGGCTGTGGTGTACGGAGGCTTCTGTGGCCTGGTGAGCGCTTGCAGTTGAGGAGCTGTGGTGGTGAACTGGAGGGGTCCGCTTCATCTACGGGGCAGACTTCACCAGAGTATCCCGTCCTTTCTAGGGGTGGACGTTTTAGCATTTGATTAATCAAATTAGCATTTGATAAATTTTTTAAAAATAATAATTCAAGTTTGGTGTAGTGGTAATCCCAGCACTCAGGAGGCGGTGGCAGGAGGATCGCTGTGAGTTTGAAGCTAGCCTGGGCTACACAGTGAGACCCTGTCTGAAAAAAAAAAGAAAAAAGCAAACAATAGCAATGACAACAACAAAAAATTAAGAAGTTCAAAATATGCAGATATTCCATTTTACTTCTTTGATGTTAACAATTTCATGTTTATCCTTTATTTTTGCTCTCTTACATTAATATAAACCTAAATGCACATATAAATTTTATCTTGTATTTCCTGTGATAGTTTTATACTAATAATATGAAATAACTGTGAAGCCATTAGGGATTAATAGTTACTTAACTAGTTACATAAAACAAATCTGTCAACTAAAAATGTTTTTCTTGGTAATTAGGACATAGAGTGGTACAGTGAGAATTCCTTGGGGTTTGCAGGGAGGACAGTTAGATTTAGATCTCTGTATGTATTGACTGTGGTCTTGAATAAGTTCAATCTTTTTTGTGCTTCAATTTTTTTTCCCCTTTGGACTTGGAAAAACTTTCCTTTTATTTTTTTCCACCATTAAAGTTTGACTTTATGTTTTTGCTCTGTTATTTTTTTCTTGCAATTTTTTTAATATTTAAAAGGTTAAAAACTTTAAAAGTACAGTGGAGTATGCACTGAAAAGTTAATACCCTTTTTTAACAACTGTCCCCTCCCTGCCCAATGTCCTTCCCAGAGGAAACCAAGCAGTTCCTGCTCTGTTTTCCGTGCCCTTCTCGAGGTCGCTGTGCGTGCACTGGTGCATCGGTGCCTTCCCTGCGGGGCAGAGGCCACGCTCCAAACAGGAACACCTACAGGCCAGTGTATTTCCGATAGTTCGTCTGATGCTTTCCCCATTTCCTTTACAAGTCTGCCACGGGAGTGTACTTAGCAGCCTTGCCAGCACCTGGGGGCATTCAGATTGCTGGAAAGACACCAAATGACGGCTCGTATGAGCAGCATATCTCCCATATGCAGAAGAAGATAAATGACACGATTGCTAAGAACAGAGAGTTATATGAAATCAATCCTCCGGTAAGTAAAAGAAATCAACATTGTGAATATATTGGTTTTGTTCAGATATTGGTATTTTTTAAGGTAGCTTACTTTGCACATAAAAGTTTTGTTTAATTCTAACTTTTACATTGACTATCCTTATTACTTTTCTTTTGACTTCCTTAATGTCTTTTCCAAATATCTCCTTTCAGAGAAACTGCCCTGAATGATCCTTTTCAAAACTTGCAACTCTTTTATCATTTTTGGTATTTACTATTGCTCTTCTCTCACTTTTTTGAGTAACCTATTTATCTTATCTGTGTGCGTGTGTGTGTGTGTGTGTGTGTGTGTGTGTGTGACTTCCCATCACCTACACACAAAAAAAGTGGATCTTTTAGCTTCCTTGCTGTGACAAGGCAGAGGTGAGTTGTGCTTTATCTGTTCTGTGGGTTCACTGGGCGTGGTGGCACATGCCTGTAACCTCAGAAATCAGGAGGCTGAAACAGTGCAATGAAGATCCGTTGGGAATGTATTTCTTTTGCCTAGAAGAGTTTTCATAGTAGTAGCCTCTCAAGTATTTGTTTAATGATTAAGTTAATAGTTTACAATGCTTTTTTTTTTTTGGCAGAACCAGGGATTGAACTCAGGCCCCTGCACTTGCCAGGCAAACACTTATTCTACTGAGCTATCTCCCCTGTTTTTTTTTTTTATGTTCTTTTTTTAATATTAGGGAAGGGTCTACAGAGTGTTCAGGGTCTCAGACTCATAGTGATCTGCCTCTGTAGAGCCTCCCAAGAGCTGGGATTACAGGCATGCGCCACCATGCCCAGTCTCAATTGCCATCTCAGCAGGCCCCGGGGGTGAGGCCACCATACATAGCAGGCCCAGGGATCGAACCCCCAGGCCCTGTGCCTGCTTGCAGGTGTCTTTTAAAAAAAATAAAATAAATAAATAAAAGAAATTGTTTTTCCATGCTAAAAGACCAGTATGGTGTTTTAGTTGCACTTCAATTTTTCCATTTTCTTCCCAGTAATTTCTGTAGTCAGCCTTCTTGCCAAGTGGGCAACTCCCCAAGATGCAAGTGATCAGCAGTGATCACTTGCATAGATGCCTAATACCTCTGAGTGATTATTATTATTATTATTATTTTGATACAGGTGTTGCTATGTAGTGCAGGTTGACCTTGAACTTGCTGTCTCGCCTAGACTGGCCTTGAACCCAAAGCAGTCCTCCTACCTCTCTGCCTCCTGAGTGTTGGGATTACAGGCTCACTTCACCACACCCTGCACATTAGTAGTAATTTACACAGATGACTTATAGCTATCAATGATTATTTATAGAGATGCCTGCAGCCATCAGGGATTACTTATACAGATTCCTTATAGACTTCAGTGATTACATGTACAGATGCCTTGTAGCCATCAGTAGTTACTTACATAGAGGCCTTGTAGCCATCAATGATTACTGATACAAATACCTTCTAGCCATTATAAAAGTTACGTGTGTTGTAGTTAAAAAGCATTATTTAATTTTTTTATTTTTATGAATCTCTTATAATGAAATACATTTACAACAGGAGTGTTTGGATAATGTTTTTATTATTTTATACTTACCCTCTTAATTTTGCTGGCTTGTTTTAGAATAGTGTGCATGAGTTCTCACTCCAGACCAACTGCTTTTGTCATATTACTCTCCAGCAGATTTATGACAACAGTGAAAAATTTTTAAGAGGTAATGCTGGAGAGGTGTGTTGTTTAGTGTGGTAGCTGTCGGGCGCTGGGCACGGACTGGGCTGAACTGAGAGCTGCGTTGAGTGCAGAATGCACACTGGCTTGGCCAGGTGTGCTGGTGCGTGCCTACAACCGTGCACAGGGAAGGCTGAGGCAGGAGGAACACCATGAGTTTGAGGCAGCCTGGACTAAATTAGTAAGCTTAAGGCTAACCTGAAATACATGGTAAGGCCCTATCTTTAAACAAATATTATACACACATATATGTATAGATATGCAACATGCATATTGGATTTTGATGACTTGTAATAGAAAGGAATTAAGGAATGTAATTCCTTTTTATTGAATATTTGTCATATTAATTACATGTTGAAAATGTAATGTTTG